TATGGGGGCAAAGCGGAATAGTCCCACGACTATTTCCTAACATCGAGGGCAACAAGTGGAGCAGAGGAGCAAACCTGGGAGCGAACGCGCTAGCCAGCAGGTAATATAGGAGCCTTAATAATTAGAACAGGGTTTTGGGGTACATTATATTTACAATAACGAACCCCCACAATCCTACAAGCCCCATATAGCCCCTTTATGAACAAATCCTAAACCCCAATCGCAAATCCTATGTAAACCCCACATAAACCCACTTAAGAATACACACCAGCAAGCCCCCTAAACTCTCGAGGGTTTACCCATAGGCCCCAAAGTAGTTCCTTCTTGGGATTACCTTATTTTGGGGGTCCTTATAATAAGGATCCTACTATTTAGGGTCCCCTGTTCTCGGAAACTGCTATATGAACCCCCAAAACGGAACTACTTTGGGGCCTTAGGGTTTACTTAAAGTCTCATGGGACTTAGTAAGTAAGGTTATAAGTAGGTTATAAGTAGGATAACCCCACTTAGGGGACTTATAACCCCAATTATAACCTACTTACTAAGTCCCATGATCCTCTAAGTTCCCTAAATCCCCTCTTATACTAGAACCCCTATAGATCCCTTTAAAGGAGCCCTTTAAGGAACCCTAGTTACTAAGTCCCATGATCCTCTAAGTAGGGTTTGGGATTGAATTAGGGAATATACCTTAAATCATATTAGGGCTCCTATTATAATTTAAGGTATATTCCTTAATTAAGGGGTTTAGGGCTCAGGAGTCTTCCTCTTTGCGCCCAGGATGCAGGCGCCGCCTAATGCCTGGAGCAGCGGCAGGAGCCAAATTTGACCCAGAGACTCCAATGTCCCTTAATTGAGGTATATACCTTAAAGTATAGTAGGATCCATAATATGATTTAAGGTATATCCCTTAGTTAAGGAATATACCTTAAATTATAGTAGGACCCCTTATATGATTTAAGGTATATTCCTTTATTCAGGGATATTGGAGTCTCTGGGGAGCCAAACATGAGGACAGAAAAGCCCGGCTCTTGGACTGGCCCTACAAGGCATGGGGTTCCTTTAAAGGGGTCTATAAGGGTTACTATAAGGTATCTATAAGGGTACGATAAGGGATCTATGCCTAGACCCCCCAAAGTAGGTAAAATAATGGCCCAAGACCTCTAAAAGACTGTTATTCCACGTACTTTGGGGATCCAGGTTAATTTTTGGAGTTTAGGGGTTTAGGGTTTAAGATTTAGGGCTTTGATCTAATTAAAGTGTTTGCTTCAATTCTTGAAATTAGGCTCTTGCTCGAATTTTCAGAATAAGGCTTTGCTGTATTTTTGGAGCAAAGTTTTTTGCTCTCGTTTTGGAATATAACGCTTTTGCGGGTCTCTTTCCATGACTTTCTAGTAATTATGAGTTTCTATACCGTACCCTTTAATAGTGCAGGGCCGCACGTTGGGGGATCTACTCATGACCTTCTGAAGGCTAAAGCTGCTAGAGCCCGAAACCCGAAACACTGAAGCCAAATGGAAGTTTCCGAAAATGAGGGGTACCTAATTTTCGGGGTCTCTATAAAAAGGATCCTGCTATTTTGGGTGCTATATTAGGGTCCCCTAATTTTCGGAAACTCCCAAATCTTCCCGAGCAACCTCCCCTGAAGCTGAAAAATCAGCACGCCTCATGCCTTCAACCGTGACTTTACCTTCAGCCATCAAACTCACAACGTCCGAAACCCCAAACCCTAAGCTCTACCCATAGGCCCCAAAGTAGTTCCTTTTTGGGATTACGTTGTAGGATTCTATATATGAGCCCCCAAAAGCAACTACTTTGGGGCCTTAGGGTACACCCTGAACCCTAAGCCCAACTGCCAGCGCTCAGAAGAAAACCCTCCTTTCGAATCCACGTGGCCGCGCAGCCGCAGTGCCAAGAAGGGAAGCCTCCAGAGATGCCAAACGTGTGGCTTAGGGTTTTGTGTTTAGGGTTTAAGGTTTAGGGAACGCGGATCGCAAGAATCTAATTTTGGGATGTTGTGAGGGACTAAAGGTGACGGGCTCAACTAGGAGCTTTTCGCTGAGTGCTTCAGGTTCTTAGGCTAGGGCTGAGGGATGTAAGCATGCGATTACTGCTTGAAAGATGAGTGATTAGGGACCTATGCCTTAACTTGAATACTTCTCCGGCATAAGTTGATGAGATCCTGGTCTTCCATTCTTGTCGCACAGGTAACAGGCTTAGTTTTTCTGTAGCCAGGTAGCGCCGCCAGCAACGCCTGTCCGGCTGCTGTCAGTCGTCCTGCAGCCAAATTCGGATGCCGGCTGCATGAGGCGTACATACAGTTGTACTTAAAGGCTCATGGGACTTAGTAAGTAAGGTTATAAGTAGGTTATAATTAGGATAACCCCACTTAGGGGACTTATAACCCCAATTATAACCTACTTACTAAGTCCCATGATCCTCTAAGTAGGTACCCAAAGGCCCCAAAGTAGTTCCTTTTTGGGGTTTATATATAGAATCCTGTAAGGTAATCCCCAAAATGAACTACATTGGGGCCTCTGGGTAGTCACATGCACTCATGGGCTACGTTTCGGAAGTAGAGTTTCCAACGGAGGTATGGTGCTTGAGGGATGATGGAGTTACTCTTCTGCCAGGATCCGACGACACGACGCCCTCGCTCTGCTTGCTGTGCAGACCTTCATAAGACAGGAAAGAGGATCTCTAGCCTCCGGGAAGACGGCGTAACACCCGCAACGGCCAAAACAGCCTTAAGCCCATCACGAGCAATCATAAGGCTTCCCTTGTGAGTCACAAGCAATCACAAGTCTTTCCTTATGAATACTCTCCCAAAAAATCACAAGATGCAAGTGAGAATTGTACAAACCGAGGCCCAAAGCCGCCAAAAGTCCGAACCGGCTTTGACTTGGGACTGGAACCCTGCAGGCCTGAACCTTAATCCTACAACATAAACCTTGAAGCTCAATCCTAAATTGAACCGCAGATCGTCAAATTGAGCCCTAAACAAACCCATACCCCAAACCCAAACCCCAAACCCTAATCCCCATTTAACCCCAAAGTGCCCGACAACCCCCCCCTCCCTTTTTAACCTGAAAGGCCACAGGCTCAACTCGAAAAGGCTCCTGCTCGCTGGCGGAGCCTCATGCGGGTGATTGTCATTTTGGGTCCCTATTGTAATACGGCCCCTAATATCTAGGGTACCCAAAAGGGGACCCTAATTTTGACAACTACCCTCATCTTTGTCCACTTTGAAGGCTGTGGGCCCGATAGACGTAGGGATCTATAATGGCTGTGGTCAACTCCTGGCTTGTCGGTGCCTTCGTGGTTCAAAACTCGACAGTCGAGTGTCCTGATTCTGGGGTGCTGGAATGTCGTCTTTGAGACTTAATTCGGGTTTAGGTTTAGGGTGGGTTTGAAATGGAAGGGGATTAGGTTCTCTGCGATTGTCTTCGACTATATTTTCGACTAGCTGCACCAACATGCCACAGACGCGGAAACATTCCGACGTGGCAAGGAAGAGCCCTCTGAAAACAAGGACATTTACATAGCTCCTTTTGCATTCCATCTGCGAACTCAACCTGCAGCTACTGGCTCCCAAGTTTCTGAAGCTGTTCGAATCCAGGCGGCGTCAGCAGCGCAGCCAACGAAAACACAATCGGAGGTGTGCCAGGTGGCAACATAGCTCAAGCGCACTTTCGGGGTGCAGAGGAAAACGTGATAAACCCTTCGTACCCTAATTACACCCCACAACCCAAGTCAAACGGGGGGGAAATCGACGAGCATGAAGCGACTCGAAGCTAATGCGCTGCGGAAGCCTTTTGAAGGTAGTACAGCGATCACGCTGCGCCAAAGTGCAACAAAAGGAACATCGACTAACCCAAGCCCGGGCCCTCAGCCAGAAGTGCAGAGCCCGGTCAAACACGCTTCCTGGAGAACCAGAAGACAACTAATCAGAAACCATGCGCAAGCAGTATCGGTTTGTTGCCTGATCCTTCTCGATGCTGCTGAAGCTGCTTAAGAGAACTTCTGCTTTCGCACCAAGCAGGCCATCCAAAAATTAAGCCCAGCAACCTGGATTTATGAACCCTGTACCCTAAAACCTTAAACCCTAAACTCTCACGAACCTAACCGAGCTCTCCTTCTGCACAACCACAACCACCACCACCACCACCACCACCACCACCACCACCACCACCACCACCACCACCACCACCACCACCAACAGCAACGGCAACGGCAACGGCAACGGCAACAGCAACAACTGCAACTGCAACAACTGCAACAGCAACCACAACAACACTTTGAGTCCACCTCCCCCTCACCCTCAACCTCAATCATGCAGTGCCTTCTTCAGTTGACACGGCTCCTTCGGGGGGGGGGGGGCAGGGGGGATTCGGAACCCGGGAGCCCGCTGACCAGCTGACCCGAATCCCGGCTTGCACCTTTATGTTTTCTCTGTTGTAGTATATGGGTAGTTGTCAAAATTAGGGTCCCTTTTTGGGTACCCTAAATAAAAGGTGCCGTATTATTAACCCAAGACGGGACCATGATTTTGACAAGCACCCATATTCCTTTATGGGGTTCAGATGTAGAATCCGATATGGTAATCCCATCAAGGAACTACTACAGGGCCTATGGGTAACCATCTCAGCTGGGACGGCTCGTTCGCAACCCCGGGCCTCAAGATCATCTCCGAAGAAACTTTATCCGAAGCAATCCGAAGAATAACTCCCTGGGGATCCAAAAACCTATTGTTTTAGGGGTCAGACCCTCTAATTAAGGCGTTGTAACCTACTATTTTGTAGGGTTTGGGGATAAAAGTCGAGTCATTGTGTCATAGAAGAACAGGAACAAGCCTGAACCCTAAGTCCTAAACCCATAAATGCCCTCAACACCCTGTGCCAAGTAGCACATCGAGAAGGCATAGATGTAAGGGACTGGTAAGTAATTAGGCAGTCCTGATTATCATCAAAAACAGCTTGAGAATGCAAGAGTAATCAAGGAGCTCTTTCAGCAGCGCGATCTCGTATTCCTGGGCAACGCAGGCGGGCGCCTACATCTCATGCCGTCTTTACATGGTCATACTGTGCGTCAACATGTGTTTATGCACACCGCAATAGGGTTGGAAATTCGGATGTCTGAAACTCAACAAGTTGAAGATGGGGAACAGTTTCTATCCAAATGACCATCGCATCCCTCTTGTGAGGGGCACAAGCATATTAAACTAAGGGAGCACGGACCAAACTTCCCCCTCGCTGACCCACTGTTCCGTGCTTTTGAGCCGGGTGGCATCGTGTACTTCGGAAGCCTGGAAGCAATTTCTTCTCGCCTTAAACACCGAAACTCTGAGCCCTTCAAAAAGGCCTATACCCCAACACCCTAACACATCCGAAACCTCACAGCTACACCCTGTGTTACTTGGGCCACGAATCCCAAAACCTTAAATTACTTGGGCATCCACCGCCCGCTGGAAATCTGCGGAAGAACGGCAAATCATCTCCTTCACCGCAACCTCCTGCCGGGTTCGGGGCTCTTGTGTTACTGGCAGAGAGGTTTTGCGGGGTTTGGCGTGCGGGGGCTACGGCTACCGGGATAAAGGGCTTATCACGCCGATGGAGGGTCCCAGGTAGAGCTTCGGGTATAGAGTTAAGGATATCCTAACCAGAGTACACATGTGGGCGCAGTTCGTCGCATTCAACCAGCGATGCTCCTGTCAACCAAAGAGCCCTGAAGGCTAGCTGGGATCAGCAGGCTGACTTCTCCTCCCACAGCCCTTCAGCCAGAACTTTGCAGGATCCCTACACCCTAAACTCTAAACTCTACACCCTAAACCCTACACCCTAAACCCTACAGGAGTGACGAAAAGCCAACCCTTAGCTCGAAATTCCAAACCGAAGTGGCAGCCATCGAAGGAACTTGCGGAACAGGCCCTAAAATCTAGTGGGTAAGTATACTTATAACTCATATTAGGGGACTTCTAGCCCTACTTATAACTAGAGATCTAGTGTCGCCAGTCCTTCTCATAACCACACAGGCCCCTTTATCAGAGCCTTCTTTTGTCGTCGGTCCTGGCATGGTTCCTTGTTGCACTTTGCGGCCCATACCACGCCGAAGGAGCCCATACCCAATGCCTTGACGCTGTCCGGCTTCGGCGTGTATTTACCCAAAGGCCCCAAAATAGTTCCTTTTTGGAGTTCATATATATATATATATATATCTATCTATATATATATATATATATAGAATCCTATAGGGTAATCCCAAAAAGGAACTGCTATGGGGCCTCTGGGTACAGCTACGGCTTAGAAGGAGCCTGATCCTGGGTTTTGGTTCAGGGTGGATACTTAGAGGATCATGGGACTTAGTAACTCGGGTTCTAAGTATGGTAACTGTACATATGACTACTTATCACCCCAATTAGGGTACTTATAACCTTACTTACTGGCTCCTTTTAAGGGATTTATTAGGGGTTCCTTTAAGGGCTTTTTAGGGGTTCCTTTAAGGGCTCTTTAGGGGCAAGTCCCATGATCCTCCAAGTAGGGTTTGGGATTGAATTAGGGCTCCGACCTCGGAGTGCCAAGGCTCTTGGAGGATCATAGGACTTAATAATTCTAGGTTGGCCCTGAAAACTATTCGTAAATAGGGTGCTATTAGGCCCAATAAGGGAACATATAAAATGTCCCAAAGTACCATGGTATATGTACCTTAATTGGGGTTATAAGGTTATAAGTCCCTTAGCTTGGGGCAGCTATAAGTACAGATACCTCGTTCCTAAACCCAGTTACTATTATAACCCTTTTAAGCACTCGCACGAGGAGCTCAGTGCTCACAAACCCCAAGACCTCGAAACACAGAAAACCTGAAGCCTCCAACACCCAGAAACTACCCAAACCTTACCTTAACCCTGAAGAACCTACTTTTTTAAGGCTTCGTATTATGGTTTCCTTGTATAAGTCCTTAAAAAGGTAGGTTCTTCCTGGTTAATCTGAAGCCTAAACTCCCCAAGACCTTGCAGGTTACAGACCTCGCCTCGGTAATCTCGCAGGTGGATGTCCCAATGCGGACCACGATGCCAGGTGAAAGCCTTCCGGTAGTCTAATTTTGGGGCCTTAATAATTAGAATAGGGTTTTGGGGCCCATTAATTATACTATCATTATAATAAGGAACCCGCCGAAATAGTACTGGTAATTATTCAGGCCCCTAAAGTAGACGAAATCCTAAACCCTACGTTAACGCCAAATCATCTACCTTTTTTGTACAGGCTTTGTAAGGAAACCATCATAAAGAACCCTGGATTGGGCGGTTGAAGGGTTTTCGGGTTGTAGGACGTTGCAGGAATTCGGCTCAAGGCAGGACAATAACTATGAGGCTCAAGTTTCAGGTTTTACAGTTCGTGGAGTAGAGGGGGGGCCTTAATTTGAATATCGCATAATGGGGCCCAAAACCCTATTCTATATAATTAAGGCCCCCATGTTACTGATGTACCGCTGGTTGTCCTAGGTCTCTGCATGAATTAAGCAGGGAGTTGCATCTCGAAGTTGGGTTCAGGCGTAATGCGGTGAAACCTCAGGCACCATAGACCCTAGACACCCCGCACAAAGGCTTGGGGTTGATGTTACAAGGAAGCTTTCGATGCCAGCTCAACGATGGACAGCTGTTTGAGATGAGAGCTCCTACTTAGAGGATCATGGGACTTAGTAACTAGGGTTATTAGTGTGGTAACTATACTTATAACTACTTATAACCCCAATTAGGGTACTTATAACCTTACTTACTGGCTCCTTTAAGGGATTCATTAGGGGTTCCTTTAAGGGCTTTTTAGGGTTCCTTTAAGGGCTCTTTAGGGGCAAGTCCCATGATCCTCCAAGTAGGGTTTGGGATTGAATTATAGGGTATCCTACCATGAAACCATATTCCAACTTTCTGGAGTTCCCTAAACCCTAAACCCCAATTATAACCCTAGTTACTAAGTCCCATGATCCTCCACGTACTGTTGATTGGAGGCTCTTTAGCTTTGCAGTTGCGGCTTCAGGCTCTTGCTGGTAGTACCCATAGGCCCCCCAAAGTAGTCCCTTTTTGGGGATTTCCTTATAGGATAATATGAATCCCCGAAAAAGGAACTACTTTGGGGCCTTAGGGTAATGAGGTCTTTTGGGTTCATATTATAAGGAAATCCCAAGAAGGGAACTACTTTGGGGCCTTTTAGGATTCTACATATGAACCCAAAAAGGAACTACTTTGGGGCCTTTGGGTAGAGTCTCCTGTGGAGGAGTCGGCAGTTCAGGGAAGGCTTCGGCGCCCTTGCAGCTGATCAACAACTAGACCCAGGAGTACCCTGGTAAGAAAAAGGGTGCCCTTTTTGGTTCAAAGGGGGTTTATAAGGGAACCCTAAACCCTGAACCCTGAACCCTAAACCCTAAACCCCAAAAAAGGAAATAAGGGCTTACTCCTAGACAAAGTGGGGGATTTCTCGGGGTCCTGGAGGATCTTCGGGTCCTTTGCTATAGGGGCCTTCATAATTAGAAGAGTTTTTTTTTTTTTTTTTTTTGAGGGGGGGGGGGGTCATTATTATGCCATAATTATCAGAAGGAGCCCCACTATTATGCCATAATTATCAGAAGGAACCCCATTATTATGCTACATTTATCAGAAGGAACCCTATTATTATGCTATAAGTATCAGAAGGAACCCTAGTAGGCCCCTATATTAGTCCCTTTGCGACTCTTTAGTTGGTTTTTCTCAACTCTGAAAACAGATGAGCGCAGTTTCAAGCCAACACACACACACACATCTTCCCAGAGAGCCCAATACCCCTTAATTAAGGAATATGGCTTAAATCATAATATGAAACCCTATATAATTTAAGCCATAGTTCTTAATTAAGGGGTCTTGGGCTCTCTGGGTTGAACCCGAGGCTTCATGGATAAGATCGCAAGAGGTGGGACTCTCACCTGCTCAAGGTTTCGATGAGTTTCGGCTCTTTACCCAAAGGCTCTAAAGTAGTTCCTTTTTTGGGGTTCATAGATAGAATCCTATAGGGTAATCCCCAAAAAGGGAACTACTATGGGGCCTCTGGGTACTGTGCTGAGATCAGAACTCTAACTCTGCCAGCGGGGGCGGCTTGTACAGCAATGGCGCAGCCTGCAGAAGCAGGAAGCGACCCCATGCCATGCGCCACCCCATGGTAAAACAAAGCCTAAACCCTAAACCTTAGAACGAAACCCTGTACCCTTACACAGTCTCCCGAAACCCTACGTACTGGCTTATGTTTTTTCGAAGCTTCACTGCGACTTTCGCGATAACTCGGAGCCCAAGAAACCCGGGCTGTTGCTTTTTTGGGGACCCCAGCGAGACTCGCTCTTGGGAAGCCGAAGACCCTAAACCTTGTTTATCAAGCTCAAAGACCGGACTAACCCGCAAAAAAGGTCTAGTACATCTAAACACTCGTTGCACTGTTTCGAGAGGTATCGTCATCTTCTTTGAGCATGCGTTACAGTACTTACATAAAGTAATATATTGTTCGCAGGATTGGTGGAGCCTCATCATCTTCTGCTTCTTCTTTGAGCCTCCTTCCTTACCCAGAGACTCCAATATCCCTTAATTCAGGATTATACCTTAACGTATAGTAGGATCCTTAATATGGATTTAAGGTATATTCCCTAACTCGAGAATAGTGGAGTCTCTGAGTACACTCGCAGACCTGGTCACCCAAGGTCAAAGTGCCCAGCGCCGGCGCCTTTGGAGGGAGAACCCAGGGGCGCTGCAGCACGACGGGCTCCTCTCAGAATCCCGGAGGGTTTCGGGTTAGGGGGACTCCAATGTCCGTTGATTTTGGAATATCCCTTCAATCATATTAGGGATCCCACTGCAATTTAAGGTATATTCCTTGAATTTAGGGATGTTGATATCCCTTAAATCATATTAGGGATCCTACTACAATTTACGGCATATTCCGTAGATTAGGGATATTGGAGTCTCTGGCCCCCCCCCCCCCCAACCCCTACAACGCCAAAAGCTAAAGGGGAAAGCTTGAAAGCCGCGTTATTGTAGCCCATGGCCTGATAACCTCGTGGTGAGGAACTGGAGGATACTTGGGGAGGTCCTGCTAGGGTTTAGGGTTCGAAAATGCTCAGGGCTTGTTGTTCTTGGTAATTGGTATGGATGCAGGGCCCATAACCAGCAAAACCAGTCAAACCCACGGCCCCTATTACGAAACTCTCAAGCCCTACTTTCTGCAGACCCCAGATCAGTCAACTCATCCCTTTTCTGGAAGGGCCAGGATGTTAGGATCCCTAATGCAATCCACCCAGATGGAAAGGGGTGTAAATCCATCGGGGGTCTACATTACCCTGAATCTGAACAAGCCTGCATGAGCAGTCTTCCACGTATGTAAAACAACTTGGGGTCCTAAGTCCTGGCCCAACACGAAGTTGTGAACTTCTGCTTTTTCCCAGTGTGAGGGCGGTTACATGTGTTGGTGCCTCGGCTTCCTGCACGGATGGGCGGGTGCTCCAAAGTATGCTTCACAAGGCTTCTGTGCTGGTCACGGGATGCTTCGTGAGCACGGCTTAGTCTTGGTTCAGTGTGATGTGGATGTGGTGTAGGAATGCAATTAGAGCCGGAAGGCTTTGGCATAGCAGGTCAAAGGGTATACGGTTGATGATATAAATCCTGCATTACCCATAATAAGGAATATACCATAATTCCCATAGTTTAGGGTCCTTAAGGTAATGCAGGATTTATATCATCAACCGTATTATCGGACTGTAGACTTGCTTTTGTCAACTCGAGGTTCCTTTGTTCCCAATCCACTCAGAGGCCTCAAAAGGTGGGATGAAGGTAGGTAGGAGTACGGATCCCTTATATAAGGACTCTTATTTGGGAATATCCCACCTACCTTCATCCCCCCTTTTGAGGCCTCCGATCCACTTAGCTAGAACCTGCTCCTGTCTGTACCGCTGCAGCCCTGGCGCGCGCAGCGTGGGTGTAGCTCGACCAGGGCAACAATGCACCTGCGAGTTCAGTCGATTGACTGAGGCAGTACCCGTAGAGTAGTACTCTTATGGCGGGGACCGTCCCAAAGCCTACCCCGAAACTCCATACCCTGTAGACACCCGAAGAATATTTCATGCCGTCAGACCTAGATAGTATAATTGCATCCGAAATCCAAGGATCGAAATCTACTCTTGGACGTTTTATTGTATTTATCTTTGCAACAAGCCACCCTTTTTCGTCGGTAACAGCCTATAGTAGAAGCCAGAAAGTTGGAACATCATTGGCCTCATGCCCTTAAGGTAAAGCATAAGGGATCCTAAAGTCATGTTCCAACTTTCTGGCTTCTACTATAGACTACCCTGTCCGGCATATCTCCTGAAGGTGCAGACTCTGAGAAACCCGTTTTGCCTCAAGCCGAGTCTTGTCTACCACCGCCGCGTTCCGGCATCGCCGTAGCGTTCCTATACCCCCCTTAGAACCATAATAAACAGAATGGTGTTTATATTCTCTTGGGTGGTATATGAACAAAAATAAAAACAATTCCTAAGCAGACTTTTGTTTCCGAGAGAGGGAACTGAAGTTCGGTTCGGGATTTTGATATGCCCTCTCTCAACCCCAACACAACCCTGACTTGTACAAGTTGCCCCTCATTGCATCAGTCTCATCCCTTAGAACAAGGCTTGGCTTACACAACCACCCGGGAAAGAAGCAAGCTCCAAACCCAAACCCTTGCGAAACCACTATAATGACCCTAAGAAGTGCCCTTGAAAACTCTTAACCCCAAAACCCCCCTAACCCCCTAAACCCTTAACCCCTGTAAACTCTAAACCCTTATAGATCCCTTGTAAATCCCTTATAGGTCCTTTATAAATCCCTTATAGATCCCTTATGAATCCCTTATAAGCCCCTTAAAGGAAGTCTCAACCGAGCTGGGCCTGTGTTGGGGTGACCGAGCGCATCGCCACCGGGGGCACGGCGGTCTTCTGAGGGCTCCAGGATCGCTCCTGGATGGTGCCTTTAAGGATTCCTGTAAGGGTTCCTTAAGGGATCCTTCAAGGGATCCTTTAAGGGATCCTTTAAGGCATCCTTTAAGGGATCCTTTAAGGGTTCCTTAAGGGTTCCTTTAGGGGATCCTTTAAGGGATCCTTTAAGGGTTCCTTTAAGGGTTCCTTTAGGGGATCCTTTAAGGGATCCTGTAAGGGATCTATTAGGGGTTTGGGGTTTAGGGGTTTTTAGGGTTTACGGGTTTTAAGGAGGTCTGAGGCCGTACCGAGGTTTGGTGTGTAGGGAGGTGTCAGGGTGGATTTGGAGGCTCAGGGCTCAGGGCCGTTTCAATGGTTTCAGGCTGGGGGTTTGGGCAGTTGGGGGCTTTAGGGTTTCCGGGTTGGCTGTTAATAGTTATGTAGGGATTTGGGAAATTTACGGTGGAGGGTCTGCTAGCTGAGGCCACTGTGCAGACACGATGCGGTTCATTCATGTCAAGTTTTTGCAGCATACCATTTGCAATTCAGTCAGGAGTTTAGGGCTTGGGGTTTAGGGTGCACTGTCCTCGTGCTAAAATCCGATTTCGCACAGAGGCTTTCGAACATTTCTGTGTGTCAGAATTACGCACTGTAACCCCAAAAACCAGAACACGGGAGGCACCCTCTGTGTAGATTTCTTCTTTTGCTGTTTCTACGGATTCAGGGTTTGGTTGGCACGAAACGAAGCTTTCCGAGATTTGGGGATGTCACAGCCCGAGGCCTTTAGGGTTTATAGGGTTTAGGGGTTTAGGGTTGAGGGGTTTAGGGTTTAGGGGTTTAGGGTTTGAACAATAAACCCTGAACCACGAAGATCTGAACTGTAAAGACCTACCACAAGCTGTAGAACCCTACAGCTCGGGAAGCCTTCGCCTCAGCCACAAACCGCAACGCCCCCAAACCTTACCTTGGTTAGTAGGGAATGGAAGAATGGTGGTAGTAGTAGTAGTAGTAGTAGTAGCAGTAGCAGTAGTCGTAGTACTAGTAGTAGTAGTAGTAGTAGTAGTAGTAGTAGTAGTAGTAGTAGTAGTAGTAGTAGTAGTAGTAGTAGTAGCAGTAGCAGTAGTCGTAGTAGTAGTAGTAGTAGTAGTAGTAGTAGTAGTAGTAGTTCTAATTGTACCCCATTCCTCCATTCCATACTACCCAAAGGTAAGAAACCCTGAGCTAAGCCACAAATACCTCAAGCCGTCAAGCCCAGAACCGAACGTCTGCGTCCTGGCGCAGTGGCGGATTGACGAAATGCAGCCGCATCGCAGTGGCCCAGGTGTCCCTTTGCTGCCTCTTAGACAAAGACCTCCATGACAGCACGACTGCTTGAATCAAGGGGATACCCGGTCCGAAACGCCTTGAACTTAGAGACGTTGGTGTGACTGGGTAGGCGGCTGTATGGGTGCAGACGATCCTCGTAGGTATCTGGCGGTTAAGACCTACTCACGAGGTGAAGGGGGTCGGGGTTCAGGTTTGGGACTTTCGCAGAGTGTTGGGCTTTCATGAATACTACCTGACATGATATGACATACCACAGCTCGCAACATGCCCTGATACGGCTTACCACGCCAGGGCGAAGGAAACAGCTCAATACACTGGACGGTCGAACATGCTGTAATTGGCTGCGACTGATTGAAGGGCATTTGTGTCTTGCTGCCCACAAGATGTGCCAATATGCTGCATTACACGGCTGCATACTGTACGAGGTGGAGCTAGGCTACGCCGTACCATCACGCCAGTCAAGAGAAGTTCGTTCTGACTTGCAAGGGACTAACGATCGCAAAGTGCCCTAGGAAATGATACACTATAGCTATTGCAATTAACCCCAATCTACCTACCTTGCTAGGGTTCCCTAATATGATTAAGCACATGCCACAGCATACGAAATCGTGTCACATTAAACCAGGTTAAGAGCACGTCACACCAGGAGCAATGATGCTCCATTGCCGTTCTCGGGGTGATGCTACAGTTCATTCACATTGCTATCCACACCGAAGGAAACTGGATTTTGACCGACCTCCATACATCACACGGCAGTCAATCTGAGTGCAGCATGTGTGTGGCTCAGCCTGAAGAATTACGGGTCTCGAAATAGCATACCAGCCAGAATGAAGGACAGATGAAACAGTAAACGCAACCAGCAGTCCCGGTTGTCCTGCCCGGTCCTCCCAAGGATTTCAAGGAAGATGCCCCTCACTCAACTGCTGTAAAGATAACTGCTTCGCAAGCTTAAGAGGCGTCGATATACAAGGAGTTCAGGGGAACGATGGCCAACGAACTTCTCAACGGTGAACCCGGAGACTCCAAAATCCCTCAATCAAGGAATATACCAATGATAGTAGGGGATCCTCCGACAATTTTACGCTATGTTCCTCAACTACAGGGTATTGCAGCCTCTGTGAAAGTAACCGCTGCCTACCCTCTGAAGGCTGACAAGCTCTGCCGCAAGTTTGCCGCCGCACATTCCTCGGATCGTCCTTCGCGCTTTCGGACGTCCAGCTCCGTACTGCAAGGGCTTACATAAGTCTTACCGAAAGGCCCCAAAGTAGTTCCTTTTTGGGGTTCGTATATATATATATATATATAAATATCCTATAATCCTATAAGGTAATCCCAAAAAGAAACTACTTTGGGGCGTCTGGGCAGAAACTACCTGGAAAAGGTCGTCTACTCCTCTGTAGAAATCCACCGACATCCTACAGCGAGTCACGGCTAGAAGCCCTTACACCTCCGACCCATGCCATGTCTCCAAACTATGATACAACAAACTAGACTAGCCAAGCTGGCCACAACCCTACAGCTACTAGATCCTAACTCCTGACACCCCAAAACCGAAAACCTTTAACCCTTAAGCCCTTTCAAAGCCTCCTGCCGTAACAAGAAGCTGCGCTTAAAGCAGGATTTTCAAGCTCCGAGGGAATGCAACCAGTGCGGATCGGAATTTTCGGGTCACAGAACAATCGGAACATGCGATTTCGTGAAAACTTGTCATCTCACAACCCTCGCCCTCACCCTAAACCTTCTCTCATGACTGGGAGCTGCAGCAGCGTGAAACTTGTGCCGTATGATGGCATCGAGTTTGAGCCTCTTGGGGTTGAGAATCTGCCCTCGACCTATAGTCTCCATTGTAGGTCCTTTTCCAGGTTCCTGAGAAGCCCCTTTATAATAAGGGTACCCTTTTTCCTACTATTCGGCTTTAGTAAGGGGGCCCAAAAGCAAAAAGGGCAAAAGGGTACTACTCAGGAACCTAGTTTTTGTGGTTAACCAGTTTTATGGTTAGGATCCTGTAATAGAGATTTTGGTTAACCAAGAAAAGGAACTACATCACAGCGGCACTGTCTCGACAAACCGATCCTGTGCAACAAATGTGGTAGGACATGAGCAAGACCTGTAAATACCGTGAGGTGATGCCCCGAAGATCAACAGCAGCTCTAGTAGCGGCAGTCGTAGATATAGTCCCACCACTGCTACGCTGCGACTGCTGCTGCTGCGACACCACGACTGCGATTCCGACTGCGGCGAGTAAAGCCATACGACTGCTGCGACGACGACGACGACGTATACTGACGCTGCAGTTATTATCCATGGCCCTAATTGGCCCTACTCCTATGACTGGCTCCGTCGGTCATGAGAAGTGAAATAAGAGAAATTGCCAGCCGAACTGCGGCAGCAGTCAGGGATAGGTAGAGTTGCACCAGTGTGGTGGTAGTCGAAGTAGTACAGCAACCAGTGTTAGTGCTGACCTGGTGCTTGCGATGTTGACGGCAATAGTAGGACTAGGAGAAACAGAGATGAACAAGCCACGGCTACAACAGATCAGCTACAGTATGGTGGTGAGAACGTTGATAACACAAGTTATCCTGATTCACTTTCGCGACTTTGACCAAAGCCTTAGCCGTCAAGCAGGAAGCAAACTCACTCAAATTTTTTGAGCCTGTATCCTAGACCGGTTGACTGACTGATGTTGCTTAAAGTTGACGTACCTTACGGCCATACTGCTATTGCTCGCTCTTGTCGCTGATCTAGGAAGAATCTCGAACATGCTTCCGAATCTCACTCGTACTTTCCCACCTAAAAGGAACCCTACTATAGAACCCTATACTACGCTAAAAGAGAACCCTACTACCTCTGGAAGTCACTCTCCCGGCCCTCAACCCATCATCCCAAACACGAGCCAACTAGCTCGAAGATCTGAGTCCTACTCTGGGTTCTTGCTAGGGGATTTAGTTGAAGTTACCAAACTGAAGAAAGCTCATTCTTTTATTATAGATCCACAAATTTGATAACTTATTCCTCATTAACAAGAACCCAGTACTTTCTCCGAGCTGCTCCCGAAGGAGCTGTCGAGCTCAATAGCCCGACGTGGTCTTTGCGGGAGCAGCGTAAGAGGTGAGACAACCGGGCTTACGAAACGCTGTGGCTCACGAGGGGGGGTTAGGCGTTTGTTTTAAGGTTCACTCACTCTTTCTGTTAGGGCTTAGGGTGTGTGTGTTAGGTTTTTGTTTGAAGGTTCACTGACTCTTTCTGTTAGGGTTGAGGGTTTAGGGTCTTTCATGTCTTTAAGGTTGTACACAGGACGGGTTTTGGCTGTGGTTGGTTGGTACACACATATCCACCCATCAATACATGCAGGCATGCATTCATATGCACACACACACACGCTAAGATTTGTAGTGTGGCGTTACGTAAATCGTTGTTGCTCTCTCTCCAGATTTCGTTCAGCTTGCTTCGATTATTCCCGCTTTCGAATCGCCGTTGCACTGGCACCTTAGGCACAAGCTTAAGGATATTGTCCCATCTTATGGCTAATGTCCAGGCCTCTAGGAAGAGTTTGGTCCACTAGCTACAACAGGCATGCTAACTTTGCAGACACGCACGCAAAGCTGGCCGCACCATGAGCCACATGAATTCTGGCCGCAGCATGGGGTCAAATATTTATCGGTTCCTGCAGATGTACTGTGAAGGAAGTCTTGGTTTGGAGCAGCCCCCACATGATCTCGGACTCGTGATTCCCAGTACACTTTTCCATAAAACCCATCGAGTACACCCCAAGACCCTGTGCTAATTGGTAAGGGCCCTATGTTAAAACCCAGTTTAACTTTGTTGAACTTTTTGCATGCCTGGTAAAACCCGTGTCCTGTCGAGTTCAAACCCCAGCTGTAGCCTTTCTGGGTTCTGCCTCACATCAGATTTCTGGCTGCGCGGAAACCATTGGTGCTGGCCTGGTTTAGGGTTCATGGTCTGGGATTGCATCAACGAGAGCACATGAGATAAGCTTTGTTTGTTTAGCTCCTGTTTCCGACCTGCCCGAACCGTGAAAAGCTCGAGAAGGCCAGCCACGGCGAACCCCTGCTTTTATGTTTAGGGCTTAGGGTTTGGGGCCGAGGCCATAATCGCAATTACATTGCAGAGATATGGAGAGGTGACTTGCAGCAAGACGCGGCAGGCTGGTGACTTGTGACTATCTGTTAGGGGTCTCACCCCCGGCGTCTTGCCTATGGCCTATGCCTTCCCCTAGGCCCCACAGTAGTTCCTTTTCGGCAGTACCTTATAGGATTCTACATATGAACCCCAAAAAGGAACTACTATGGGGCCTATGGGTATACCATGTTTTTATGGCAGCGCGACTGTAAAGGATCCTTGCGCCGGAACGGACACTGATGTCTGTACGGCCACACCAACCAGCCAGCACCCTCCGCCAAAAAGCCACACTCTGTAATTCAGGAATATACCAAAAATTATAGGGGCCTTCATATGGTGATTTTAAGGTATATTCCTTGAGTAAGACAAAACCTTCAATTATAGCGTGGCTTAATCTTATGACTTACGGTCTATTCCTAGATTAAAGGGTATTGGGCTCTCTGGGTTCAGGTCGCAGGCGCTTTGGCAGAAGCAGGGTGGAAGATCTCTGCCGTTTAATTACCATAACAGTAACATGAACAGTAGTACTACTCAGAATAGTAATAAAATATGAGTAAGAGTCTTAGTAATAGGAATCAAAACAATAAACAAAACTCAACATATGTTTAGGAATCATGAGGGCCTTGGTGGGGTGTTGGGGTACAGTACATTCGTCTGCATAAGTATGAAAAGGAGCGTTAAGGAATGTTTGTCAGTAGAAACTCTTTGAGCTTCCATACTATTCGAGAGACAGCAAATAAACGAACACAGGAATCAGCTCGAAACCTTCGGATCGAATCACCCGCGGCCGGAGCCCGAAATTCAACAAAGCTCAGCAAAAAAAACAAAAAACAAGCCCCAACATCAGAAAATCAAGAGCATGAGCATGTACACGTTGCATGGAGAAGCAGAACCCCAATCCCTTGACTTATATAATCCTACGGCAAACCCTAACTGCGACACCAACTCTGAACCCTAAGTCTAAACCTAAGCATCCCCCAAGCCCTGTATGATAAACCCTGCGCCCTGTCTCAATCCTAAACCATGGTCCTCCAAGTCAAAAACGCAACACCCTTGATCATAAGAATAGGCTTGTGGGGCCCATTATACCATAACGATAAAAAGCAACACCAAAAATAGAATCTAAGAATAGGCTTGTGGGGCCCATTACACCATAACTATAAAAAGCAACACCAAAAATAGTATCCTGTGGACGCCTGGATCTTGCGGACGTCGCCGGAGCTGCGGCAGGGCTTCATCCTTCCGCACTTGGGTGGTTGTTAAAGTTAAGGTCCCTTTCTGGGTCCGTATTATAACTAGGATACCCAGTAACCTAAGAATAAAAAGGCCTCTCTTTTTGGTATTGGGTAACTTTATAAGGAACCTAGGACTGCAAAAAAGGAATAAGGGTACTACTGGGCATCCTAGATAATATGGCACCTATTATTTAGGTTACCGATTAGGGACCTTAATTTTGACAACTACCCGCCTGGGATGTCCCGGCTTGAAGGCACATCTTGACAAGATGAGGTTAGGGCAGTCGGGCTCTAAAAGTTCATTTCTTATAGAGTTGAGGGTTCTAGCATCTGGGTCATCCCAAAAGCCCCACCCCCAGAGACTCCAATATCCCTTCATTAAGGAATATACCTTAAATTATGTAAGGGATCCTACCATAATTTAGGGAATACTCCTTAATTAAGGACATTGGAGTCTCTGGGCCCCACGAAGTCCATAGAGTCGCTTCGTCTTGCCTCGTCACGAGGGCTTCGTCGTGACGGCGGATTCGCCCCACTTTGCTTTTGCCGTGGAGGGGACGGTAGGTGCCCAGAGACTCCAATGTCCCTTAATTAAGGAATATTCCCTAAATTATGGTAGGATCCCTTATATGATTTACGGTATATTCCTTAATTAAGGGATATTGGAGTCTCTGGGTGGTGAGTCTCTCAAGCTGCCAAGGTCAGGGTTCAACGCTTCGGGCTCAGGAACAGCCGCCAAAAACACGGTGCTGCGAATGCCGTTTGATATCTATGTGTATTTCAGCGACAGTAGTCGTCGGAAGGGGAATGTGTGTCGGAATATTGTGTGGCAGGTGTCGTCGTACCATTCCCATGACGCTGTGACCACTGCCATTCAGCGACCACTGCACAATTTATGCTGCTGCTTCTTCTAGACCCTTCGACTGCAAACTAACCTCTAACAACACTTCCTCATAAATCCTGTTTCTCCAACCCCTAGACTCGAACAACCTCCTTGTTCCAACAACAATCAAATCCAAAACTCCAAACCCCACGCATTCCGCAACCTTCTGGATTCCTGAAACCCAAAAAGCAAAATGGGAGTTTCCGAAAATTGGGGCTCCTTTAAAGGGATCTATAAGGGTTCCTTTAAGGGCTCCCATCAGGGACCTATAGAGTGGGACCCGCGCCTGTCTGAAGGCACCTGTCCAAGGATCTCGGGAGGAGCCTGGGTGACCACCTGGAGTAGGCCGCTCTGCTAAAAACTTCCTAGTGGGTTCACTTTCAAGGGTGATTTTTCCTGTTGTTTGTGTGCCTTTGTATGCCCTTCTCCTTCGCACGGCCCTTCCGGCACATGAAAAACACCGCCCTGCGCGAGGTTTTCGCCTTGTTACATGTGTTCCGCTCTTGGTAGCCGAGTGTTTTGCCTGATTCGCGCTGTCTTTGTTTTTTGCACCAAAAACGACGTCGCTTTTGGTAGTACATTTTGGGTTGCGAATTCGTCCGAGCATCGAAAAACGTGGCTTGCATGCTGTATTTCTGAAGGCATGTTTTTGGATGTCTGCGTTTTCTGCGTTTTTTGCGTCGATGTTGTTTTCGGTCATGTGCTCTGCTTGCTCTTTGGGGGGGGGGTGGGGGGGTGGGGGGGTGGGGGGGGGCGGGGAGTAATGACGTTCTGTTCAAGCGAACACAAATCAAGCTGCGAAGTTCCCTGTGCAAGCGCGCTACTGACAGGAAAGAGAATAAAGAAGAAACCTAGGAACCCCGACTCACACGAGATACGCGAACACAAATCAAGCTCAGCATCGTCATAATCATTGCCGGGATCACCATCATCATCATCACCACCATCATCATCATTACACGCCACGTGCATTACATACAACTCAGTAATACCAATCCCCAGAACAACCAGCCATCACTACACACGAAACAAGATCACCATACATACTATCCCAAACCCTTGCCCAGAAAAAATTATTCCAGTACGTCAAAAACACCGAACCCCGAACAAAAACGATACAAAACCACCCTTGAAAGTGAACCCTCAGGGAAAAACTTGGCTTCCGTGATAAAGGGTCCTTGAAGGGGTCTATAAGGGATCTACATACTATTTTGGTGGTATCTTATTTTATCTATAGTATTATGGGCCAAACCCTATTGTTATTATCAAGGCCCCTCTATTAGGAAGATAAAACTACAGGTCACAGGCTTTAGGGTTTATGGGGTTTAGGATTGCGGGCTAAATGTCATAATATCAATACTTGTAATCGTAACCTTAGCAAAGGTTGAAATGACCGTTATCATGCTAAGCACAAGAGAGAACCGTTAGAGGGGCCTTGCGCTGAAGGGTTCTATGTCTTTTTTCTAAGGTTTGTGGATTTGGGTCTGTTCGGGTGCTGTACATGGGTAAAGAACCCCCGAGGCATAGGCTACCAGGGCCATGCACAGGTAAAGGGTAGGCTGTCGGCGAAGTCTTTTCGGTTCTTTATGTGTAAATGTAGGACCCTGAACAAAGAGGAAAGGGCTTTTGCGCAAGCAGAATGGCAGAGGGACCATGAGGGTATACTACGGTTGATGATATAAACCCTGCATCACCCATAATAGGGAATATACCATAATTCCCATAGTTTAGGGTCCTTAAGGTAATGCAGGATTTATATCATCAGCAGTATTATTGGCATACCATGCATTACTAAGGATTCCGACCCTTATTCTGGGGTTGAAGGGCTGTTAGGGTTTATGTAGGATCCGTCCAAGGGCTTCCTTCACTGCTCTTTCGGGGGGTTATGCAAGGATGATGAAGACTTGGCAAGAAGATGCCTGCTTAAGGCTTCCTTCAAGGGGTTAGGGCGCCCGTAGAGTGCTTATAGGATATGTGACAAAAGCACGGTTTCGTAATACAGGGGACTGAAAGCATAACAACAGCCGGTAACGAATCCAGTTGATTCCACATGACAGTGATTCCGATGATTGTTTATCTACTTCGTGGCGGACTACACTGTTAAATTAAAGTCTCCGTATCGTCAAGAGTAGTTAGGCTTCATTCCAGATCAGGGCATGCATGGTCTTGCAAATTGACTAGGTATCCACCCCATCCGCGAGGTGCTGCCACTCGGCATACGCTGGCTCAATCTAATGTCGTAAGTCCTGTCTTATTCAGGCCTCTGAATCCGAGCCCTCAATCCCACACCTCCCTTTGGTATCCCATAAACTTTCAATCACGGATAACAGCGTAGAACTTACTACAGAAGCCCCATGCCTATGAATTCCCAGATACCCCTAAACCCCTATAAACCCTTAATGATGAAAGGAACCCATTATAACCCACCACAGAAGCCCCATGGCCCTATGACTCCCACTCCTTCCCTCTGGGCTTCCTGCGGCAGACTGCGTGGCCCAGAGCGCCTCCTTCCTTCAATGGGTCGCGTTTTCTCCGCTGCTCAAAAGACTTACAGTAGCGTTTTCGGGGCCAGAGGATCGGTTTAGGGTTTGGGTTTTAAGGTTCAGGGCTTCGTGTTTATAGGGTTTCGGGTTTGGAGCGGGTTCGTGCTTAACTTTGGGCACTTCTAGGTTTCGCATAGGGTTATATTGTAGAGCTTGTAAAGCAAAACGTGTAGGGCTGAATTAAGGGGACTCTATCGGCAATCGTCAAGTCGAGGACGACGATCAGGACAGCACACACCATGACCTTTGTCCCTGGCTTACAAGGAGGCTAGCTGTAAGACATCGTAGAACTTCAGAAGCAATGGCTCACAACTTTTAGGATCGGGCTGAGGGTGGCCAACAGAGAGGCTCCTTAACCCTATAGGAAACTCCAGAAAGTTGGAATATGGTTTCATGGTAGGATACCCTATAATTTACCATAGAAGGGTTAGGATAATCATATTCCAACTTTCTGGCTTTTACCTTAAACCCTAAACTCTTCAAACCAAAACCCTGCTGTCCGCCTGTCCTGGTGATCCTCAACCCCCCCCCCTGAAGCTCGGATACTCAGAAAATCATCCTTTAGTGTTATATAGCAGTCTAAAGACTTAGTACCAAGAAATATCCGACACCAGCCCGTATATATTATAAATGTAGTGTCATAGTATAAAATATCTAGAACCCTACAGTGTTCTGATCCCCCCTGAAGCTCAGACCCTAAGCCCCAAAGCATCGAAATTCTCCGCAAAACTCGCCGGCTTTGCTTTGTTTGCACTCCACGGCTGGGCGGCCCTACAGGCCCCTTCACCTCTGCATCTGCAGCTCGTGGTGGTGGAGACATTCAATTATCACAGTGAGGGTGTTGGATGCTTTGGGGTCTAGAATGTCATGCTTTCAAAAGTAGAACAGGCTCAGGGTAAGAAATACCATGCCTACAAGAAAGAACCCGAAAACAGTATTGGTGATGATTTCAGGCCCTAAACGAGACCAGCGACAAACTCCACTCCCTTCATGAGGATTACAAGAGGGATCCCAATGTTAGCACACCTAGGGATGGGGTCTTCGCTTGTCTTCAGAGGGCTTGGGGCTTCGCGGCTACTTCACCTGTGAGTGCCCCCGTCGCAATGACGATTATGGGCTGCTTGATCATACTCCTGCCGTAAGTTTTGTCACTTTCGGGGGTATCGTATATACCCTTAATATAGCTATTATATACCCATGATATAGCCCATTATAGGGTAGGGGTCCGATTTAGGGGGTACCAGGATCTTCCGAAACTCCGCATCTAGGTCTTCAGGTTCTTTTCAGGCAGGCCTGGAAGCTCTGGGTTGTTTTGAGGGTGCTGGGCCCTGAGCGTTGACGAATGCTCTACCCAAAGGCCCCAAAGTAGTTCCTTTCGGGGGTTCATAATATATAGAATCCTATAGGGTAATCCCAAAAAGGAACTACTATGGGGCCTCTGGGTAGCGCCGAGGATGGATGCTGATGGGATTGGAGTTCGGAGGCTGAGAAAGGCTAGCGCTTCTTGCACTGCATTATAGTTTAGAAGGGGCCCCACCCTGTAATAGTGACCATAAGGATTATATAGGACTATATTAGGGCCCTGCTATATTCCTATTATACCACTATTACAGGGAGGGGGCAGCTTCTAAATTATAGTGACTGTTCGGACCTCTTTTCCTGATGATGGCTTACTGCTCGAATCGTCAGACCGGCCCTCGAAAACGGAACCTCTTACTCTTGGCTTGCTACGATGCAACAGCTTCCATCCGGAATCCCAAGCCCTGCAACCTACAATCCTGAACCTTATCGAAATTATGACGGTCACGGCATAGGACATGAACAGCGCAAGAGCACAAGTCGGAAGCAGCAAGGGCAGCAGGAATCGTCAGTGGAATAGATACACCAAAGGAGTGGACAAGAAAGAGACTGAGAATCAACGCGCATCATGAAGGGTTGTCGAAGGAAGGGGGATGGCCTGGTGTAAGAGTGGAAGGAACTGCCGCTCCAACTCCCATCTTCGCCTGCGCAGCTGCATTCGGATTTGAATCCATCGTCTTTTCTGGGGCTGGGAGAGTTGGGTTGAGGGATTGCCATGGCAGGTTCGACTAGAGGGATTGCCATGGCATGCTGGGCTTGGCTATCGCGGGGGTGAGGCCTTCGCGAGAAGATGGCATAGGAGAACAGATCGTCAAAGGGGAAAAGGAGGGACCCTTAATGGGGACCCCTACCCTATAATGGGCTATATAATGGGTATATCAAAGCTATACTAAGGGAATACATACCTAGGGGTCCTTATTAAGGGTCCCTCCTTTTACGCTTGGAGATCGGCTCTCCCCAACACCCAAAACAGCTAAGCGCCGAAGTCCGCCCAGCCCAAAGTGGCAGGCACGGAAGCACTCCAAGGCAGAAGCCCCAAAAGGCCTATTCCTGGAGAGCTGCTGCTTCAAACCTCAGATTCCGCGTCATCCAACAATTTGCGGGAGCTGAGGCTCAGGGATGGTTCGGGATGGTAGGATTTAGAGCTTCAGAAGAGGACGCTGTGGGAACCTATCGGTTGAAAGATTTCCCCGAGTTTAGGGTGCAGGGTGAGGCATGGCAACACGCAACCTCAAGGTCGGAGATGGAGAGCTTCTTACCTTTTTTCCCTCCATCTAGCCTCTATTAGACCCTAAATGCTCCTTATTTGGGACCATATATCCCTATTTGAGGGTACAACGAGGGTCCTGGTAGGTTAGCATGCTTCGCGCTTCTTCGTATCGGCGATCCTTCCTGTAAGCCTGCATGTGGCATACGCCTCCCGAGGCACGAGTGCGTGGATTCTCCGAGATCACCTCGCCGATGTGATGGTGATGACAGCCATGGTGACCAAGATCAGGAAGACAGGAAGACTAGGAAGTCTGGGAAAGAGATGATTCAGAGAACGCAGAGCAGCGCAGGAGCACCCGAAGCAGGATGAAGATGATGACGATCTGGCTAGACATGCAAGGCAGAGCTCATAAGCCTTCGCTGCGACTAAGACTTGTTGATTCCGAAGTCGCAGGACCTGCCCCAAAGCATGCAGCTTCTCTTCTTCATTCAAGGGTGCACTTCCCGATTCCTGAAAAGCCCTGAACCCCCAGCCCCGACCTGCCAAAAAGCAAAACCTCATCGATCAAGTCCTTGATCCCGACCATTTTGCCGGGCAGCTATGTATCAGTTCCTTCTCGTTGTCCTTCTCGGTGCCTGCCGGCCGGTCTTGCTGCTGCTGAAGTGCGGTTGTCAGGCTGTCGCGGGGCTGTTCGAGCAGGATGCAGCGGCAGAGGCACTGCAGCGTCGCAGTGGGTACTAGGTAGATGGTCACGGGCGGTAGGTAAATGTAGTGGTGATCGTAGACAGTACAGACAGTACTGATAGATGGCAGTGACTACAGTGACAGTAGTGATATGGAGCAGTAGCAATAGCGGCAGCAGCAGTAGCAGCAAGAGGAAGAAGGAGCAGAAGCAGGAGCAGGAGCAGGAGCAGGCAGTAGCAGCAGCAGCAGCAGCAGCAGCAGCAGCAGCAGCAGCAGCCATGTCGGCGCCATTTTACCAGTTGCCCTTGGGCTTTTTTTACGACGCCGTAGAAAGTCAACCGAGAGGATGGAAAGGGTATGATGTGGAGTGTACATTCCTACACAAGCTCAACAGATCCTACATATGGAAAAGGACCCAGAGACTCCAATGTCCCTTAATTAAGGAATATTCCGTAAATTATGGTAGGATCCCTTATATGATTTAAGGTATATACCTTAATTACCGGATTTTGGAGTCTCTGGGGAATCTCGTGATGGCCGCCGCCTATCAGGTTCATCTGATCCCGCAGCTCTTCAAGCTCGATGATGAGCTGAGCAAACCTGAGCATGGACCCCGGATTGCCAATGCAGGTCCGTGAACATTATGAAGCACTGCACATATATCTACACTTCTAAACATCCTGCGAATTTAGCCCTAAACCCTAAACCCTAAGGACGTACAAAAATGTCGGCTTTGCATCTTTGACGCATGGAGGCTGTGGCGCTTTCACGGCTTCGGTCTCTAGGGCTTCGTGCAGACTACGATCCGAAAACTTCGAGCTCAAGCTATATGTATATATATATATATATATGTATATATATTCACACACATACATATACATATTTATATATGTATGTATATATATATATATATATATATATATGTATACATATATGCATACTTACATGCATATACATATATGTCAACACACCCTGCACGTTAACCTCCAAAACTCCTGGAGCCAAACCCTCAAACCCCTGAGCCGGGGTGCTTCTCGGGAGAGATGCATCCGGTCTGCTCGCGTTTCGCCTTCACCGCGGTCTCCTGTGGGAGGCGCTTTTTCCATAGGATTGGATACCCAGAGACTCCAATATCCCTTAATTAAGGAATATACCTTAAATCATATAACGGATCCTACCATAATTTAGGGAATATTCCTTAATTAAGGGACATTGGAGTCGCTGGGTACTTCAAGGCTCGGTTAGAAGACGATAGGGAGAGTTTAGAGTTTCGGCAAGGATCTTTCCAAATGGCTTTATACGCTGTCACAAAGGGTCCAGGGATTTTGAGTTTGGGGCTTGGATGGGCTTGGGGCTTGCTTTGGGTGTGGGTTTGGTCGGGGTGGGATTTCGGGATTTAAGGCTTTTGGCGGGTGGGGAGTGGACAGAATTTGTTGTTGAAGGGCTCGGATCATGGGTGAACAGCTTTTGCATTTCGGGTTTGGCGTTCCGAGAGGCTTATGGACAACATGTAGGGTCGACTATGGCTAGAGGCTGGGAAGGTCGCATCTTTAGAGTCTGTATCCAAGGCAGAGAATGAAGCTAGACACACCTTGAATCCAGCAAAAAAAAGCGGAAGCAGAACACTGAAAACCCGGAACCTAAACCTCCCAAGCCCTGACTCCCCCAAACCCGCACCGGTGCCCTCTTCCACCCTAACCCCAGGGCCGGAGAAGTCCTTCATGTGCTTGGCGGAAGTCAGAGCCTGTGAGAACCCCCAAGGGATAGGACACGCTTGTGGAGGTCCAGCTGTTTTTGAAGTTCAGGGCATGGTTTGGTTTTGGGTTTAGGGGTTTAGGGGTTTTGGGTGTAGGGTTCAGGTATTGGGTGTGGGGATTGACGAATTGAGGGTTTGAGGAGATGCCTGTAATCCGGCGCAGGAGTCGGGGTGTGTGCCTCATTGCTTGGCTTGTGGACCCTAGTCCCTTCGCCATCATGCATGAGCTTCAATAGTTCGAACAGGGTTTGGGGGTGTGTTATAGTCGATAGATCTAGACCTATATCAACAACTTCATCGATAACGATATCTATATATGTATACATCTATCTCTATATCTGAAGCTGTATATATGTATATACACCCGCATACCTATACCGATACGATGCCTATACCTATACCTATAGGAGGCGCCCAAGGCCAGGTTAAAGAGTGCAGCAAATCAGCTTCTCGCGTTTTTTGCGGACTTCGACCCTGATTCGTAAAACTCGAGGGAACATTTTAGGGTTTAGGGGTTTACGGTTTAAGGGGTTAGGCTTTCGGGCACTGTACTCATGTCTGTACTCATATTAAGGAACCCTATGGTAGACAAAACACTACTATTAGTACGGTTACTACTATACTATTCAGGCGACTATAAAGTTGAAAAGAACCCTCTTGGTAAAACACTGCTGCTACTACTGTACTACGATTCAGGCCCATATACTACAACACTGCGCTCGAATGCTGGGCTCCCTGCATTCTCAAGCTCCGCCGCCAGCAGTTGGATGCGCTCAATCCTAAACTGATTCCCGACTGTAAAAGAACTGGTAGTACTGGTTGCCATAGGGGTTTGGGGGGAAAACTATACTTTAACTATGAGAAGGAACCACCAAAATAGCATAGGTAAGTCTAAGGCCGCTATGGTTACTCCTGGTTCCATTCTTCTGAGTCTTGCACGCGCCTCTTACCACAGTGGCGAGCCCAACATGTCTCTGATTACGAAGTTGCGAAAGTCGCTACGGCTGGTACTACGTGTCAGACAGCTACTCGGTCAGACGGCTATTCGGGTCAACATATATACCACTCTGGGAAACTGCCATCTTGAGACTTCGGGAAGAGCTCTTCCTTACAGGGTTTTTGGGGTGTAGGGCCTTTAGGCGCAAACACTGATTCCATACTTTGTCCTGCATGCACGTGGCCCTCTCGAGTAGAACATGTAGCACAGTTAAACATGAAAGTATGCTCTGTGCAGCGCCTTCTTCAAACTCGAACATGTTCTGATATTATTTAGTCACACTGTGATTATTGTAGATTATGATTGTTGGTCTGAGAAGAACAAGCTGACTGTTGATACGACTAGTATTACTAGCAGGCATATTTGCAACAATATTGGCAACAATATATTGTAGCATTGTTAATGGAATTTTGACTTTCATGTAGCATGAGCATCCACACTCATATTCCTCCTACAACCATGGCATAAATACCGTTCTTATCGTGTTCGTCAAGAGCTGTGCTATTCTCGTAGTTATCCTTGTATTGCTGTCATCAACAGCACTACTACTAGACGATTTAACATTGCTGTTAACGTTACCGTTGCTTTGATAGTTGTCAGTGCTGTCATCATCATCTTAATGTGATTGACATTGCTGGTTAAACATATATGAACATGTGTATATAGATATAAACATGAGTATATCTGCCTGTCTATCTGTCTGGCTCTATGGATGTATGTTTGTTTGGTACGTATGCATGTATGGATGTGTGTGCACACGCATACACATGCATACACATGAGCATGCGGAACATACACATGCATACACAAACACATATGTAGACCTACACCTATACACATACTTACATACACATACACATACACGTACAAATGCAGAGAGCCAGCCACATACCGACATAATTATGTATATATATATATATATACATACACACACACACACACACCTCAGACCTATATACAGACCTGGACTTGGACATACACATACACATGCAAATATACACCCACTTGCATGCATACATACAAGCTTGTTATGCTACAGGCATGTACGTACATACATGCATGCATACGGATGGATGTATGCATGCCTGCACGTATGCCTGGCCATGGACATACACATGCACATGCAGCTATACAGACACACATGCCTACATCCATCCATCCATCCATACCTTTCTTGCATATACACATCCGTGCGTCCACACGTACATGCAAACACACATGGTTACTTACATACATGCAGATGCATACACATGCATATACAGGTCAAGGGGCCCATACCTGTAGTCAACTCACATGTCAACTCTAGCCCTAAACCGCATTGCAGGGCTGATTCAGCTCAGTTGTCGGATGAATTTCATCACATACACCGCTCAATACCTCCGTGGTGGTCAGTAGGGAATGGGGGAATGGATTTTTATGGGAACTATTATTGAAGATTATAGGAGCTAGTATAGGGAGCCATTCCCCCATTCTCCAAGGGTAAAAGGAGGGACCCCTAATAAGGACCCCTAGGTATATAGCTATTATTATAGCCCATTATAGGGTAGGGGTCCCCAGTATGGGTTCCTCCTTTTCCCCTCTGACATTCCCTAGTAAGCACCCGTCGACATGGGAGTTTCCGAAAATTAGGGGACCCTAATATAGTACCCCAAATAGTAGGATCCTTATTATAAGGGCGCCCAAATAAGGTACCCCTTGTTTTCGGAAATTCCCACATCCTAAGCTGCAGCCGCGGAGCAGGGCCAGTCGATCGGCTTCAGCTTGAGCCTGGCAGAACTGCATGAAGAAATACGTACAAATATAGTACTGCATGATACATATGCGTATGCATATTATATATATATGTTATATTATATATGATGTTATATATATAACTATGTATTTACAGACTACAAAGGCGGACGCAAACATACTTGTTCTGTACACTGCGTAATTGCTTGTTGAAAGATCGCATAGTTCTAGCAATAAGCACACAGTGTGATCATATGCATGTGGATACGGACAAACAGACAATTACTAAAGATCCCTGCGCTCCTCAGGCTTGACCTCCGGGAATTCCAGCACGAACATTTTGGGCCACGGAACCCGAGCTTGGAGTTTTTCGAGCTTCGGGTTTGAAGGCTCCGGATCCCGGGGGGGCAGGGCTGAGGATGCAGGGTACGGGGTTCAGAGTTCAGAAGCTATAGCTTTTTGGGGGGCAAGGGTTTCAGAATCAGGGTTCACGGATTTTACGAATCAGCGCACACTGCAACCCTCCAGCGGAGTGTGTGTTGTCCGCCTTCACCCTCAAGATCTCTTCTTGCAACTCCGCGAGTGCCTGTCGGGGACGGCTTCCGGGTTTAGGGATTTAGGGTGAGAGGCTGAGGCAGGCTTAGGGGATTCATTCAGAGACCTGACCACAACTGATCTTCTGTGGGGGATATTCCGCTTTTCCCAATTGGTAGTGTGATTATATCTAACTCGACGCTGGGTATATTCTCCTGTGCATGAAACATTCACCTGACACCTAAAAGCTGAAACTGCTTCAGCGACAGTGTTGAAGGGTAGTTTGAGCTGCGGGGTCGCAACAGCTGATGTTTGTTGTCACACCTGAGTACACCTGTAGCAGTACTATAGGGGCCTTGATTATTAGAATAGGGCTTCGGGGCCCAATATACTACACTTACAACAAGGAACCCCCACAAATACGGTTGATGATATTAATCCTGCATTTCCTCAAGGACCCTAAACTATGGGAATTATGGTATACTCCTTATTATGGGTAACGCAGGATTTATATCATCAGCCGTATAATTAGGTAACTATTGAAGGCCCCTCTAGCAGGGCTGGGAGGTCAGGTTCAGGGCTTTCGGATCTAAGCTTCACACTCTGGGGTTCCTGTGTTAGGGGTTCATCGTCGAAAAAGCGCGCCGCCGAGCCCCCCAAACCCCTGTCGAAGCTCGGAAGCCGCAAGACGTGAAGAAAGCCTCCAGAACCGAGTACACCGCACCCAGAGAGCCCTTAATCGTTCGACGTTCATAGCAGCAAAGCCCTACAGACTCTGGGCCTGAAGTCCCAAGGCCCTGAAGCATCCGAAAGCCCTAAGCTGCCCCCACCCTGTAATAGTGACTATAAGGATTGTAATAGGGTTATACTAGGGCCCTATTATATTCCTGTTATACCACTATTACAGGGTGGGGGCAGCTTCTAACCTACATCCTTGAAAAGCGCTAAGAGGCTCTGAGACCCTAAACCCCTCAAACCTGAAGGCCCGGACCCAGAAGGAATGCCCCAACCTTCCGGATCAGGTCGTTTTCCTGGTCCTTCTGCCGGAGCAAGTCGGGGACCTGCATCCATTCGGGAATTCCTTGATCTTGGGGGTTCGGGTTTAAGATTGGGGTTGGGCGTTTTGAGTTCAAGGATTCACTCTGCGGTTCCTTATAATCCCTTCATTTTCTGACACTCCCGTTTGGGGTCGAAACTAGCTCACCGATTTCGGTGCCCCTGTCTTACAAAAATTATCTCTTCAGCCCCTACGGGCATAGTGTCTTCAGAATCACCGGTTCATCAGCTGCTGCCAGCATGATAAGACTAGGATGCCCAGTAACCTAGGAATAAAAAGGGCTCCCTTTTTGGTATTGGGTAATTTTATAAGGAACCTAGGACTAAAAAACGGGAATAAGGGCGGCATCCTAGAAGACGACTCAAAACATGCTCCTGACAAGGGCACACAATAAACAACTACACGAAGCTGTGATAAGACCACGGTAAGTAACTCAACCGTCGTCGGTGGCCTAGCTGCTCTAAGGTTAAGGGCAACATGGCGCTAGGCTTCGGTTCTGAATTGAAGATGCTTTGCTGGCAATGCCTCGTGCTTCGGGTTGTAGGTTTCAGGGTCGTGGCTTTATAGGGCTTCGGGTCTCCGGAGGTGTGCTGTGGACTTTGCTAGATTTGTTTAGTCTTCTGGGTTCGAGTTCGGGATGAAACGGCCCGGTGGCCCTGAGGCAACCAAACCATCCCACTCCTTTGAAACGTAGGGTCCTTGTCAGAACTGACCTAAACCTAGGATACCCAGTAGCCTAAGAATAAAAAGGTCTCTCTTTTTGGTATTGGGTAACTTTGTAAGGAACCTAGGACTACAAAAAGGGAATAAGGGTACTACTGGAAATCCTAGAAACCCTAAACCCTGAACCCTAAACCCCCACATGGAGATTTCTGAAACTCTCGATGTTCTCCTCTGCCCTCATAGGGAGATACTCAGCGGCTCATGCAGTGACTCCGTGCATGTGCAGCTTGCAAAAGCGCCTTGTCCAGCTCGTCACGGAGCACTTGCTTCTCGACGACTAAGACTTCTCTAGCCTTTTCTGCCTCGGCTGGAATGTTTGGAATGTGGAGTGGTGCTGGCTACATGGCAGTGGTCGTGATCGTGGTCGTGGAAGTGGCCGTGGTGGTGATGGTGGTGGTGGCGGTGGTGGTGGTGGCGGCGGTGGATGCAGATGTGGTGGTAGTAGTAGTAGTAGTAGCAGCAGCAGTAGTAGTAGCAGTAGCAGTAGCAGTAGCAGTAGCAGTAGTAGTAGTAATAGTAGTAGTAGTAGTAGTAGTAGTAGTAGTAGTAGTAGTAGTAGTAGTAGTAGTAGTAGTAGTAGTAGTAGTAGTTGTAGTGGCAGCGGCAGTCACAGTAGTGGTAGGAAGATGAGGAGGAAGACAAACACAGCAGCAGGACCAGTAGCAGTCGTCATGACTGTGAATGTGGCTGTGGAAAGTCGACGGTATCGGTGGCAATAAGGACTAGTATTCGTCGCAAAGGTAGAACTAGTCACGACATCCGCAGTGCTCAACTGAGGACGGCAAGCCAGGCACCCGCCCCCGTACGTGCCTGCTTGAGGAGCGCGACTTTTTCGTCTTCGAGCTGGAGGATTCTGGCAAGCAGGCTCCAGTGAAAAAAGGATCTGCCTGTGTTGTTAACCAGGGTCTCTGTCGGGTATGATCCGGTCCCAGTGTGTTTTGGAAAATCGACCCGATTCAAGGATGATACCTTTGACTACTTCCTAGACGACTCTACCATAGGGGTAGCAAAGAATAGGAGCCTGAATCGTCAATTTACCCTCCCTGCCCATGCAAACAGGCAGCACTATACGCCCCCCCAAATCGTGTTTTATTGAGTTGCTATAGGGATCAACATAGCCCAAAAGCCTTATGTAGTATGGTCTTTAGGCCCAAAAGCCTTCATATATGAGTCCTTAGATCCCTAGGGTTACTATGGATGCTGAGACCCCGATTTCTACCTACAGCACCACCTTGCCAGCGAGCGACCTTTCAAGCCGTCCGACTGCAAGAAAAACATCTCTCGGCGTCGACAAAGCAAGCCAAGAGCCGACTCATCCCAAACCCCTTGTGGAGCAAACATCTTTACATCATCGAGGAATGCAAAATATGCTTTGAAGTATGCTTCTGAAACAGGGTCTCGGCGTCTCTGGGCAGAAACCGCCCACCTTCGGAGAATGCTCTTGACCTGCATCAGGCATCGCTTGGGCGAAGGGGTTGGGAGTCGATCTTCTGGCTTGGAAGTCGCAACCTAGACCAGAAAAGCTAGAGCAGTAGCAGTTGTAGCATCGGCAGCAGCACAAGTAGCCGCAGCAGTAGCAGTAGAAGAGGTTGTAGGAGACAGACCATTGGAGGCCGTCCCGACGGTTTCTGACAGCATCTTGCCTCGGCGTCCTTTGCATCGATCTGCCCCTGGAGCGCCTCCCAAATCAGGGATGCCACTTCAAGTTGGTGTTAAAACATCGTACGGTTGGCTGATGCTTCGGGATTGAAGGATTCCCCCAGCCTCTAAACTCACCCTAAACCCTAAACCCTAAACCCGTTTTGGGCCGTTAGGGACTTCCGGCTCTCCGTTTATATGCTGCTACCAGCGCCGAAGTATCGCCTCATGCTCTGAAGTATCGACCAGCTCCCCAGTCTCACGCTTCCAAGGAGTCGAAGCTTAGGGTTTAGGGTTTTGGGTTTAGGGTTTAAGGGTTTAGGGTTTAGGGTTTAAGGGTTTAAGGGTTTAGGGTTTTGGGTTTAAGGGTTTAAGGGTTTAGGGTTTTGGGTTTAGGGTTCAGGGATTAGGATTTAGGCTGCTTTCGGATCCTTGTTGTAGCTCCGGGATGCTTCGGTCGGCCATTAGCGTTCTGGGTTAGGGACGTTTAGGGCTGAGGGACGGTTCAAGCAGCTGCACAAGCTCATGCGGGTTATGACTCGCAGGAGTTGTCTGGTCCTTTGCAACAGGGAAAGGAGCGAGAAGCAATGCGTGCACTTAGTGCTTCTGGATATACCCACCCTAAACCCTAAACTCATGTCAATGGTGGAGAGATGAAAACAATCCATCTCGACGCCCAGCTCTCAAGTCCCTATTATTGACTCTAACTTTACTAACAGCCTTACGGCTAACGACTTACACAGACAGACTTCACCGTCAAGTCGTCAGAATCCTCAAATGTCTTTTCCATGGGCCTTCAGAGCTTCTCGGGCTCTGAGCATACTGTAGAAGCATGAGTAAGCTGTACATGTATCCGAGTCATAGTTCCAGGTCAGGTTAGTGCTGCTACAGTACATATGTCCCCAAACCCTATTTCAACTAGTAGCCCCCGTACATGAGACCTCAAGCCAAAAGCCCTCAACCCGCAACCCAACATCCTCACTGGCAGGCCTTGTTTTTCTCTCTCTCCTCCTCCAGCAGCCGAGCCTAGGATCGGATTTGCCAAAGTGTTTCGGGTTTGGGGTATAGGGGTTGAAGGGTCTAGGGTGCATGGGCTTAGGGTTAGGGGATTAGGGGCTCTAATCCCTTAAGCCCTAAACCCCTAAACCCGAAACCCCCTTAAACCCTGAGCCCTTATTTCCTAAACCCGAAACCCCCTAAACCCCTAAACCTTTTAAACCCCCTAAACCCTTAAGCCTCCTAAACCCCTAAACCTTTCAAACCCTAAACCCTTAAACCTCCTAAACCTTTTAAACCCTAAACCCTAAACCCTTAAACCTCCTAAACCTTTTAGACCCTAAACCCTTAAACCCGCTTTGGGGTTCCAGGGGTTCCAGGACTTTCGGGCTTGGCAAAGCGAGCTCCGGACCATGGCTTCGAGCTCTGCCGTCAGCGGATTCTGGCGAAGTTGCGGGCTCTGGGTTTGGGCGTTTAGGGATGTAGGGGTTTATACGGGTTTATAGGGTTTATAAGGGTTTATGGGGGTTTATGGGGGGTTATAGGGGTTTAGGTTTTACAGGGTATAGGACGGTTTAGGGTTTGAAGGCTTAGGGCTTCAGGACTTAGAGCTTTTGGGATTAGGAGCCCAGGGTTTAGGGGGAACTCCAGAAAGTTGGAATATGGTTTCAGGGTAGGATACCCTATAATTTACCATAAAGGGTTTAGGATAATCATATTCCAACTTTCTGGCTTTTACTGTAGGGGGTTTAGGTCTTTTTGACAGTACTACTGTTCTAGGATGCCCAGTAACCTAAGAATAAAAAGGCCTCTCTTTTTGGTATTGGGTAACTTTATAAGGAACCTAGGACTACAAAAAGGGAATAAGGGTACTACTGGACATCCTAGACTGTTGCTGGCATTGGTAAGGTTGGTAGCTTTTCGCAGAACTGTCGGCTGCAGGGTCTAGTTTCGAGCTTTGGGATTTCGGCTTCTATATTGATGTAGTTCAGCCCTGAAATAGACGGCGGAGCAACGTACGTAGAACCATTGGCTGTGGTTGCTCTTGTTTCTGTAGTAAGATGTGAGTGCATTTCGAAGTTACGACTACTCGTATTTGTAATAACTCAGCAACAGCATGCGTATGTACCTTAAGCTTTGCTGCTAGTCAACAGGGTCAGGCGATCGCAAACTTGAGAGCCAACACCTTTTTCAAGGCCTCAAGCCCACTAGCGCCAGTACAAACCTTAAACCTTTCCTGAACTCATTAGAACCCTAGCAGAAATCATAACTTATGATAACCAAAACTTAAAAAATATTTCTAAGTACCCCGAAGAAACCTTAACCTACAGCCGGAAGCCCCGAAATCCCTGGCCGGGGTGCCTAACCGGCCAAAAGCCCTATCAGCCCCGGAAACCCAGAGCCCTAAACCTCCTACGGTAAGCAGAAGTTCCCAAAACCACGACCCTCTGAGCCCTAACGAAATCCCAACACCCAAGCCTCAGAAAACTGCTAAACACCAAAATTAACATACCTAAAAACTTACAAAGTCGGAGAGTTCTCACAACCTAATTGTGTTACAACACACAACAAAACATATTCCACCCCCCCGCCTCAAAACAAAAAGTGAAGCAATAGACCGCCAAAGCTCCCAGCGGGTCCCTGAACCCTAAACCCCAAACCCTGAGCCCCAAACCCTAAACTCCTAAGTCCTACACCCTAAACCCTGAACCATAAACCCTAAAACCGATAAAACAACTTACAAACTGGGAGGGTCCTCCGCGACCTTGATCTCAGAGACCTTCCTCGCCGGGCCCTTCTCGGAGACCCTGGGCCGAACGGATAGCTGAGTACTTAGAGGATCATGGGACTTAGTAAGGTTATAACTGGGGTTATAAGTCTCCTAAGTGGGGTTATCCTAATTATAACCTACTTATAACCTTACTTACTAAGTCCCATGAGCTTTTAAGTATCACCTTACAAGTACACGGTTTAGGGTTTAGGGTTTACTACTTGGGTACGGCCCCCATACAGTAACAGTCTATAATAGGGCTACTATTAAGGGCCTTCTATATCTGTATTATGAACAGGCGAAAAATCCGGTAAAAACCATCCTAAGCCCTAAAGCGCTTGAAACCCCAAACCCTTCACTGCTTTGGAAGGGGCTCTCGTCGGTTTGGTAGTTACCAAGCAACAGGAACGCCACAAAAGCAAGTCCCTTCCTACCTATAGTACAATGACAATGTACTATAATACTAGCATTCTAAACCAGTACGATATACCATAATACTTGTAGTATCGTATGACACAGTTTACTATCGTCCTGGTATCCTAGCTTAGTACAATATACCTTAGTTCTACTACCAGTATTCCAAAGCACTAACAATATTAGTAGTAATAACAACAATACTGGTAATAACAAGAATAATAGTACCAGCAATTATGATAGTAGTAATAAGAACAGTAGTAATACGAATAGTAGTAGTGGTGATACTTGTAACACCAGTAGTAATAATAGCACTAGCAATAATAGTCATAGTAATAATTAGAGTTCATAATAGTAACTTGTGTACAGCCCCCACTCCGAAGACCCCTCAAACACACCTGACCTGGACTTAGTTAGGGTCACTCCCATTTCTTTGTTGGGGCTTCCTAAAAAAAGAAGCATTGCCTCAAAGTATCAAGTTCCAGCAGGAATTCTGAATCGTCGTGAACTCTTCATCGTTTCGGAGCAGCGTTTCGGAGCAAGACAGGCACCCAACGCGTGACCGATTGAAGGTGATAGACTTAAAATGCCCTTACATCGGTCAGGATGCTGTGGATTATGCTTTTGACCCTAAACCCTAAACCCTAAACCCTAAACCCTAAAGACCCTAAACGCTAAACCCGAGGCCCTGAGGGTTCATCCGTGTCATGACCGGTCCAAGGCGAAAGCTGCGCGTACCACGACTTCAACATCTCTTTGAGAAGTAGTCGATCGACCTCCCAAGAAAGGAAGCGACGGTCTTGCATCTTGGATTTCGGGTTCCAGGGTTTAGGGAAAGGTTCAAAAAAGGTTTGCAGGCTTGAGTTGCTGTTTAGGGTTTGAGCTGAAGGCTTAGCCTTGGCCGCTGAGGTGTCACTCGAACGGTGTATAGAACTGGCTTGTAGTGGAGCTCATCATAGGCTGCACTGCTTACTGGTGAATCCTTCACGCGGCGGCTTCGAACAGAGTTGAACCTGTGGCTTAGGGCTCAGATGTGAGTATTTGGTGGGAGTCATTTGTTCGTAGCCCCGCCCTTACATGGCCTTCCGTGAACATGTAAACTTAGCATCAAGGAGCCTTGAAATGACGAACAACATCGCCCCGCCCCCCCAGGCGGAGAGCAGATATAAGACCAGCTTCCGAATCCCCGCTGCTAAGCTTGAGCGCAAAATCCAAACCCACTTCTGCAGCTGTTCCACGCCTTTTCCACTGAGGCAGAGCTGCCACACACACCGGGGCTATGAAGCCCTACTACAGACGTTGAAATCGCTTAACCATGAAAGCCTGCAGCCTTTCAGCTCCAACTTTTCCGCAGCCCTAACTAGGCCTTGAAACTCGAGTTCCTACACGTTGGAGCCGCCCTTGGCTGCCCTGACGGCAGAGAGGGACAGCTAATTGCCCGTCCCGTAGTCATTGGCCATGCAGATAGGAGGGTGAAAAACTCTCACGCGCCTTCCGTGTTCAACTTCAGGTTTCGGCGAAGGCTAAAGAGAGGGCCCGAACCATGGAAACCCTTCTGAATCTTAGGGGCTGAGTACCCTAGCCCAAAATTATGGTAGGGTTACATAAACCCCAAAAGGTTAAATGGTATAAGTTCTTGTGGTCATACATTACACTTTTCAACTTTACAACGCACTTTTCTTCAAGCCCTGCTAAGTCACCGCAAAACGTCAGCGAAGCTGCATCATACGGCGGCAGCGAGAGCGAAACCCCAATACATGGGAGTTTCCGAAAATTAGGTGACCTTATTTTAGGGTCCTCATAACAAGGATCCTACCATTTAGGGTACTATATTAGGGTCCCCCTGCTTTCGGAAACTCCTAAATGAACATCGCAGAAGCCAAAGACAAACCCCATGTCTTTCTTCAACCCCGACCCATAAATCGACCACTCTACGTAACTTACGAACCACATGAAGGCTGTACTCGACAATACTGCTATACTGCTATGCTCTATTCTGCGTAGTTTGTTCCTGACGCTATACTACCCCGTTACCACCTTGATAAACAAGAAATGCACCTTCTCTGATGTTTTCAACCTCCGGGCGTTCCTTTGAATGCCGGGCGCTTCGCCAGCTTGCCATGCAGAGATGCACTTAGGGGCAGGGCCTGGGGGTGAGGTACAGGACACTAAACTTAGTGTGCAGGAAAGACGTCGTCGATCTCTATTGAAACAACCTCGCGCTTCACTCGAACTCCACACAGAAGCATCGAGCAAAGGCGGACAAGCTCGATTACATTAGCCCTACTTATGTATTTGCTGCATCCAAGGTCCAGTGTGTGTGACGAAGTCTCCTACTCTAAACCCTAGACTAAACCCTTCTAAATCCTGCCTGGTCTTTTCTCGCATCCCGCAACCCAAAACGCCGGCTCGATACTTTAGGGCTCAAAATCTTACTGAAGAGACTCTAAGGCCATCTAAGGGCCCAATATAGGGGCCTTCATGAGTAGAACAGAGTTTGGGAAAAGTATACCGTCACTGGTTATTCCGAAGGATCTCTTTTGCCCCTTCAAAGCCAAGCACCAGGTCGTCGCAGACGGAACAACCCAGCGGGCTCAACAGGTGGGACGAAGGCAGGCGGAGGACATCTAAATGTACCTGCCGTCGTCCCACCTTTTGAAAAGCCCTAAACCCTACTTAGAGGATCATGGGACTTAGTAAGTAGGTTATATTTGGGGTTATAAGTCCCCTAAGTGGGGTTATCCTAATTATAACTTACTTATAACCTTACTTACTAAGTCCCATGAGCCTTTAAGTAAACATTGAGCCCGACAAACCCTGACGCCTAAACATCCACGAACTCGAAAGCATCCTAAATCCGCCCCAAGCCCTGAAAAGGGAACTCCAGAAAGTTGGAATATGGTTTCAGGGTAGGATACCTTATAATTTACCATAAAGGGTTTAGGATAATCATATTCCAACTTTCTGGCTTTTACTTTAAACCAAAAACATCCTTAAACCGTACACCATCCTACCCAAAGGCCCCAAAGCAGTTCCTTTTTAGGGCTCATATATAGCATACTATGGCGTATCTCCAAAAAGGAACTACTTTGGGGCCCCTGGGTAAACACTACACCCCAAAAACCTCAAATCGGAAACCTCTCACCCATAAACCTTTCCTAAATGCCCGACACCCTACTTGGAGGTTCATGAGACTTAGTAAGTTTGTTATACGTACTTTAATTAGGGCT